CCCTCATTTTCCTGATGAGCTACTTCGTGCTGCAGAGCTTGGGGCGTGCAGGTTAGGAGGCGTCTTAAGTGTATTCCAATGGCCTCTGCCTTTCCTTTGTCAAATATCCATTACAACCTACTGCATTTAGGCACTGAGGGCACAGAAAGAGGGGGCGAGCCACGAAGAGCAAAACACACAGGGTTCCTGCCCCGGGGAGCGCACAGGACGGTGTGGGAGAGACACTGAGCCATCCCCCACATAAAATGTCACTCAGGAGGTGGTGTTTGAGCTGAGATGGGGCGGGGGGGACCTTTCAGGCAAAGGAAACATCCAGTGCAAAGACCCCCTCGAGGGGCGGGGTAGGGGTGGGGCAGGGGAGCGTCATGCCTCCGGGGAGTTGAGTGGGAGAGGCTGGAGTTTGGCACGGGTGGGGCTACACTGGTGTTGGCCCTGCCTTGCTGGGTCCACAGACTCCACAAGGAGTTCTGTCTCTGATATAAGTGATGGGAACCATTGGAGGGTGGGACTCCTCAACAAAAACTGAGGCTCTGTCAGCGATGAAGGAGAGTCAGTGGTGTGGGTACACCAGCCACGGCACTGACAGAAACACCCCAAACGTCGCCTCTTCAAAAGCGCTAGTTCCCGCTCCCACCCTCCCATCAGCAGTGCGGTTCCCTGTGTCTCATCTCCGTGAATGGCCTCGCCATTCATCCAGGAGCTCAAGCCAAAAATCTAGGTGCGCTCCATGATACCCGCCTCGCGTTTTCATCCCCGAGTCCCCATAGCTCATCCACGGCCAAGTCCTGTCCATTCCGCCTCTCAACTGTCCCCGAAGTCATTCATATCTCCCTCGCCTCCGTCAAACCCGCCTCTTGCTGAGCGATTGCAATGGTTTCCTAAACGCGCGCCTACTCTCGCGGACCTCCGTACGATCTTGCTACCTTCCCGGAAATGCCATTCCCGGGAATGCAAGGAAAGCAGTGCCCGGAGCTGGGGGTGCCATGCTGGGGCATGCCCTACCGGCGGGGGAACCCCCTCGCCATGTAAGCCAGTGTATGTTAGGTTTCCTGGTGTGCGCAGGCCTAGGGATTCTAACTGATATGTGTCTGAGGCATCAGGGCCAAGTGGGCAGTTGGATACCCTCCACTGAGGCCCAGTGGCGAGGTCTGAGCTGGAGAAATATATGTGAGCCCTGGGTGTAGCTTGGGGTAGGGATGAGATTGCCAAGAAGAGAGAGTGAGAGCGGAGAAAAAACGTGGGAGAGGTGCCCAGGGAGACCACCTGCGGCCAGAAAGCGGTCCTGCTTGCCTGTTTACGCGACGGAGACACTAAGGGCATGACAGCATTCTGAGTGTACTCACACTGGACAAAAGGAAGCGGTTAGGAGTGTTTTCAGCGGGGGGAGGAAGTTGGACTTCAGGACCTACCCTGAGGATTAACATTAGGAGACTCTGGCCGCCTGCCATTCAACCAGAGGCCCTTTTACCAGCATTTCAAAGGCGACCACAGTTGAACAATAACCCAGTTAGCGAATATTTCTCCTCTTTTGAGTGAGGCGGAGACGGGGCGAGCATCCCATGAGAAGGCACCGGGGTGAGCAAAGGCTCCGAGGTGTGAAAACTAATGGCAGCAGTCACAGAACTGGTCTGGGGACCAGCGGGGGAAATGAGCTGAGTGTAGACTGTATTCGGTCAGCAATGACTTCTTACTCAACGGAAAGCTTTGGAGCAGCGCTAGAGTTGGTCACGGTGTCCCAGACCAAAGGGAAGGCTTGGGAGGTGAAAATAAAAATGAAGGATCGGAGGACCAGAAGCTACAGGGCTTCGCGAGAGATTCTCAAACCTCAGCACCAGAATCACAGAGGAACTTGTGACAAATGTACATTCC